AGGGTGTAAGCGAGCCCTTTGGTATGGTATGTGCAGGGTGTAAGCGAGCCCTAGGCACGATTTGGGTGTAAGCGAGCCCATTTGTTTGGCCGTCCCTTTTGAGGTCCATCAATGTCACTGACTGGTAAACAATCGGAAGGTGGGCATAGGTGGTAAGGTCTGCAAAGCAGCAAAAGGGGGAGTTCTCAATAGTCTGGTGTTCAATCCTTGTGGTTGGGTAGAAGGATCTTTTTGGGGGATTCTAGATGTCTAGTCTAACTACTAATTTATAGAACTATTGTATGTTATGTTACCCAATTTGTTATGTGTATGGTTGATTGGTTGATAGAAGATATGGGGGTGTGTGTGTTTTTACTGGCTATTCCAAGCTCATGGCGTGTCATGCCAGGTGATGAAGCAGTTTACAATGGTAAAGGTTATTTCGAAGGCAAATAAGATGAAGTGTTGAAGCTATGGTTCATTTGAAGACATAGATTAGTTGTTTTTTTTTTTCCTTTTGACTTTTGGTTTGGCTATGTTTTGGTAATCCTGTAGTGGAACATAAACGAATTATCTGTGATTTCAACGCTGGTTATATATGTATATATATTAAGATGTTTTGGTTATCTATCCTACTTATGTTGTATTATTGTACGTATTTAATGGCCCGGAAGTTGGAGCGTTACGCACATATTTATTTATTTATTTGAAAATTATGAGAATTTAAGAATAAACATTTGGAGACTTTTGACATAATAACTATATTTATTTATATATATAGTATAGATTTATTTATTTATGTTTATGCATATATCACTGTTTTTACAACGGTAAAGATAAACCCAATTTGGTAGTACTCTAATTGCAAAATATTTTTGTTTGGTTGAATTTTTAAATTTTTTGAAAAATTACAAACTAATTTGACAAAAATATACAAAAGCAAATATTTTTAAAATTTCAAAAATTATTTGTTCCGAAAAAGAAAAAATTAAAAAAAAAATAATAAGTGCTTAATTTTTTTAAAAATATAAGCTGAAAGGGTTGAAGATTTCAATAAACAATTTTTTTTCCAGTTATGTTCTTATTACATTATAAAAATATATATATAAAAAAAAAGGTATAAAACATTAACTTGAAGAAAGGTGGATACATATGAAATTAAGGAGAAAAAAGAGGAAAAAGTAAATAAGGGCTTTTTGGTCTTATTATAAAAAAAAATTATTTAGTTAAGATAGATTTTAACCTTCGGCAATTTCTTAGAATTAATTATACTTATTTAATAGTTCCTTAATATATGTCCTCAGAGCATATGTTAACAATTTTTGTAACTTTCTATATAAGTGAAGAGTGTCATATTCATTTAATATTTTTTAACATTTACCTTGAGGGCATGTTTGTTTGGACGAACTGGATAAGGGGGATTGTAATCCACCAGACTGTTAATCCTGGGATACATTGTCCCCAGACTATTTAGTTGGACTGGATTTGTATCTTATGTTTGTTTAGTCATAAGATTAGATGTCTGGATTGGACTATTCTATTGAATTCTATGTTTGTTCGGGATATTATGGAGAAGAATAAATGCTCAAAAGACTTTTTTGCCCTTTTGAATTATTTACTAAATAATAGGAATATTAAATCTAAATTATAAATTTTATTTAATTTTTTACTAGCATATGATTATTAAAATAAATAATTTAATAAAGTATAAATAATTTAATAAATAAAATTTATTAAGTATAAATAATTTAATAAATAATTTTTTTTTAAAAGATATTATATAGTAGAGGATAAAAAATGTAATTTCACTACCTAATCCTATGAGATGAGTATGGATTGTGTCCCACCCTTCTGGGATAGAACAATCCCATAGATTTGAAATTCATAGTTGGGCGGAAAATTTTGAATCAAAATAACGAATTATTAGTCTGGATGGACTATTAGTCATATCTCATACTTGAATCCTTCCTAACAAACACCACCCGTGGGTGTTTGAGAAATTGATTATTTAAGCAAGCTAAAATAATTGCATTTGGGAAGAAGATTAGATTTTTTTATTTATTTATAATTGAATATGATATTTATGAAAGAAAAAATAAAATAATTATAAATTTAATTTGACATTTTATTTAATTATTTTAATCTATTTTTACTTTTAATGCTATTTTAGCCGCCCCCAACACAAACAAGCAAACAAACAAACCAAAAAAAAAAAAATCTCTCCTCCTCAAACTCTCCTTCAAAACCGCTTTGATTGTTTCTCTTTGATAAGATTCTGTTTGATTTATTGTTTGTCTTTGGTGAAAAGCTTTTCTCTTCACTATTGACTGAGTTGTTAAGGCTGTGCATGTTTCATCTCTAAGAGACTCTGGAAAATTTCATAGGTTTTTCTTTTCTTCACTTCCACTCACTTCCACTTCAATTCTATTGTTACCCTCTCTCTCTCTCTCTCTGTTTAACCTTGCTTACCTTTAAAAAAATATAAAAAAAAAAAAATTCTCAACTTGAATTTAATTTTTGTCTTCAGTTTTGCTATTGGTCTTTGTGTTCAACTCTTGATGCAAGAAAGAAAGAAAAAAAAAAAATATGTATTCCCTTTTGAATTTATAAAGCTTTGTAATATCTCCTCTGCAACTCTATTTTAACTCTGTGTTGAACGATTACCAAATCAGTATTCTCTGCATTGCTGTTTTCATTTTACCAAGCTCACTTTCTTCATTTCCATTTCTGTTGTAGTACAAAAGCTCTCTTTGTCCAGTTATATTATAATTCTCTATATTCAATCCTTCATGTAAAAAAAATTAAAAAATTAAAAAAAATCATCTATTGTGTAACTCTATATTTATAATTAATTGTGTTATAACATTTCCTGTTCAAACAATAGCTTTTAATTTTTTATTTATTTTTCTCTGTGCCGGACAATCACCAGAATCAGAAGAGATGGCCCGCGAGTTTGCTTGTTCCTTTGTAGCCAAAATTGCAGAGTATTTGGTAGGAGCATTGATTGCTGAATACTTTGTTAGTCTACTTGGTCGCGAGTTTGGCTATGTAATTTTTTACAGAAGCTACCTCGACAAACTTAGAGAAGAAGGCAAGAAGCTGGAAGAAAAAAGTGGTGCAGTGCAGCTATAAGTTGATTTAGGACGAAGAAACAGAGGGATTATTGGACCTGATGTCCAGGGGTGGCTGGAAAGGGCTAAAGAATGCATTGACGAGGCCAGTGAAATTCTGGAAGATGAAAACAGTGGGTGTCTTAATGGGTGGTGTCCAAACCTGAAGTTACGCCACTCCTTGGGTAGGAAAGCAGCCAATAAGGCAAAAGTGAAAGTTTGCAGAAAAATAATTTATTTTAAAAATACTTTTTCAAAGAAACATCATTTGATTACACAATCTAAAATACCTCGTCCAAGTGAGTTGTTGATAATACCTCACCAAGCGATCTAAGTGTCTCGCCTCCAAAGTGATTCACCTTGCATCCTCTTTGATTTATTTTTGTGTATATATTTTCTACAGACCTTAAAAATTCTGATAGCCAATTTTTTGTATCAAATACATCTGATATATATACACAACACATGATAGAGTTTGCATGTAGGTGGGATCCTTAGGGATCTCTATCTTTTAGTAGTGGGGATAAAATAAAAGATGTATCTTTTATTTTAAATATACAGGATACAACTTATCCAATTTTTCTTTAATTATCTTTTAAACAGATAATATAGAACTTCCACTAATTGCAATAATGTCCATCAACACATTACAATTAAACCCCTAAAAGTAGAGAATTACAAGTGAGGCCCTCTCTTATAATTAATCACAAATTTCCTTCCACCAAACTATATTCCACATGAGCTATTAGGTATGGACAAATTTATCACTATCAAAAGCCCTATCTCATGTAACCGAATTCTAAATTTTTCCTTCTTCTAATTGGACCCTAAAAGCATTTTCCAAAAATAGGATTTTTACAATTATATATGTATAAAATATTTTTACGAAACAGTAACCGGCTGGTTTTCTTTTGGTCCAATGTTAATAGGAAAAATTGCTTGAATATACTTTCTCACTTGAGAATGGTGGATTCCATGTTAAGCACCTATATAAATTAATTACCACTCACATAACCCAACGTGTCTGTGTATAGCCTTTGATTCGGCGTCACCGATTGACAATGTCAAAGTTAAATGAATAGATAATTAATTTATACAAGCCTCTCAAGTCAAAGGAAAATAAGTGTATTGTAATAGAACTACCTTTTAAACTGATAGTGATCATTCCATAGGTGTTCTTAAAACCGATCTTGTTCAGTGCATATACTTATTACATAACACCCACCTATTTGCTTAAGGTCACTACCTCAATGACGGAGTTAATCATTCTATCATATAGTAGCAAAACAAGTGTAGGCCATAGTAGTGCGATGCCCAATCAACACCCATAGCCTAGAACATTAATTGGGTCTACAAGGCACTGAAAAATCATAACTCCCAGCTTTAGCATGTTTTTCTACAATGTTACCCAAGGGACCTTATGTTCACATCATATGTAACATTAAATATAACAATACCCATAATAACATACAAAATGCAAAATATAAAGCAATTTATATAATCAATTAATAAAGTCAATAAATTGGTTTTTGAAGGCACAAATGCTAAATCAAGAGGGTACCTTTACAAGAGTGTCCTACCCTCCCTACAACAAAAAAGGGTTTTTACGGCGCACAATACACGCCGTAAAAACCTTTCTACAAGGTGCATGGAAAAACATTCGCTGTAAACGACATGCAACAGTACGTCGTTGTTAGTTTTTCTACGACTACTTTTGCACGTCGTTAATTGGTAACACAAACCACGACACTGATTGCGCGTTGTGAAATGTATAATACAACAAATTATTATGTTTGTCGTAGAATATACAGTTTTTTTATTTTTAAATTCAGCAGGTTCTATTTAACCAATTTTATACATTCTAACAAATATTACAAACAAGCATCATAAAACATCAATCAACCACCAAAATATTGTTTGAAACATTAAAAAGAAACTATATCCATAAATTATAAACATTCAACAATTGTTTATACATTCCAAATATTTAAAAACTATATCCTTAAGTTCTAAATTGTACAAAAAGTTTAAACCATCCAAAACTATGCATATCTAACTTTCTAAACATATTGACAACTATTAAAAGATTATCTAAAACTACCGACAACAGTTCCTATAGTAGTTGCAGCTGCAGCTGTAGTAAATCCACTTGCTCCTATCACAGGGATGAGGGTGCCCAATGTATGTTTGGAGCAACTAACCTTGTTGCATTTCTTGTCTGCATGACAAAGAAAACTTCACACAAGTATAAAAACCAACAACTCAGGGACAAAAATATTTCTTGATGTCTTAAGAAATGATCAAGAAATTTTAAAATATCAACAAAACATTTTCAAAATTAATAAGATAATTCAATGGCCCCATAAAAGCAATGTCATAATGAAAAATTAGCAAAAATTTAAGATCTCAATAATCTCAACGTACATGCAAATAAAATCCACATAAAACAAAACTTTTTTTTTTTCATGCCTCAAAAGAAGCTACCTCTAAAGTTACCTCTAATGAAGTTACCTTTTTTTATTGGAATGTTTCTAGAGAGAAATGAGTAGGAATCTTCAAACAAACCATTAAGTTTGTATAGGAAAATATAGTTTGTTACTAAATTCAAGCCATAAAAAGCTCAAGAGAAAAATTAAATTTAAAAAGAGGAAGAGGTGGAATTAATCCACTTTAATGCAACACTTACTTGGAACTTGAGTAATTATGTCAAAGGATCTCTATGTACGAGGTTTAGGTTTGTATAGGTTTTATGTATTACCATTGTAAGTTCTAAAATAAAGAGTCCAAGTTAAATTAGAGTCTATATTATTTACAAGTTTAAAAAGAAACTTTCAATCCATTATAGAAGAAATTTAGGTAAGTTTTAGTAGCTTTAGGTGCTTTTTGGGACAATGTGATGTAATTCTACTTAGTAGCAAATACATAAGATAAGGAACTATAGGAATAATCCCCAAGCTAATCTTTTTCTTCTTCTCTAATTTTTCACTAGTATCTAATTCAATCACAAGCTATTACTAATTCCATTGACTCTTCCACCTTATAGCCTACTTCCTGATATTATAATGCATTTTCTCTAATGATTCAACCCTACAGAGTATGCCACTTGAAAAAACTAAACAATATTCATAAATAACTTAGTTGCTTCATCCATACCATTTATAATCTACAAGCCACATCCTCCAAGTGTTTCCAAAAACTAATCACCACAATTATGTAACAGTATTAGTGGCTCCAGGGCACCATTTCAACCATCATAGTGGTGGCCATAGTTAAGTAACACTATGTTGAAATTTATACATATTGGCCCATCAAGGTATTGAAAACCAGCAAGCTCGAGTAAAGCTAAAAGCACCAAACAATACTTAAGACTTAAACCAACAACATCAAACCTGCTATATAAGTACCACAAATTAGCACCCAAAAAGGCAACAACCAAACCAACTTATTTAATTGTAGGTTGTTAACACATGTTATTCAAGTTAAATAAAATACATCAGTTTAATTAGTATTAAATTTACCCCTATTTCAACGTATTAAATTTAAACTACGTTGGTAGAATTCACTAATGTCATTTTGAGTAATTAAGGTGACATGCATTGGAACAGATTTCTCTAACATATGAAGTAGTAAGATCAAGATTTGATAATTGTAAAGTTGATTCTATAATCTTAACAATACATACAAGTGTGCTATCAATTTGCATTTGTATAGACACATGTAATTTCATAAATAAAATTCAGGACAAAAGCACAAAAAAGATTGATAAATATTGTTAGAGACATAGATTGGTTACATCAATTTGACACCCGAAGTTTGCATCTAGCTCGTAATATTTGAAGTCTAAGAAACATACCAGTGAATCAGTGATAAATTTTGTCTCTTCCACGAAACACTAACACTTTGCATTCTCATTGCATACTCTTTCACACTATCAACTTATGCATTTACTGACATCCAGTCCTGCTTGGCATGCTGGCACTTTTCTTTCACAGGCTTTTGACAAGTAAAAAATAGTTGCTCTGCAATTGCAATAGGTGTTTCAAGCTTAAGCTTCATTCTTTCAATTCTTGTACTTGTTGACCCATCTAAAAAGCTACACAAAATGGCAAGCAACCAATAGAGCAAAACTAAGAATAAAAAAATACAAGCAACAACCCAATAAGACAAACAAAAAAAAATAAAAATAAATAAAACACCCCTGCTGTTACAGATTATGCTTCAGCTTTACAAAGCACACAAGCAATATTGCACTCCCATTTAGGATACAAATATTCTGCAGATACACAGTACTTTTAAGCTTTTGCCTCCAAGCCAACCACACAATGAATTTGACTTTGGGTGGAGAGACATTGTGCCAAATCATTTTAGCAATAACTCCAATGTCATTAGGATGAAGATTAAATTCACACCATCTATACACTGATGAAACACTAAAACAACCAGAGTTTTCTACCCTCCACTATAAAGCATCCTCCTTATCAGATCTAACTGCACAAGCAGAGAGTAACATGTTAACTATACTGACCATATCCTCTTTTTCCCAATCCCTCAACTCTTTACAGAAGCCCTGTAGCCAATCAGGTAAATCACTTCTAAGGTTAAGTACCTCCTTTACTAATTTGTGTCTGTCAATTGAAAGTCTATACAACCTTGGAAACACCTTCTTTAGACACCTATCTCCAATCCATTTATCTTTTCAAAACAAAGTCCTAGCGCCATTTCCAATCTGTATTTGAGTATTGCTCACAAAAAATATTATAAAGTTCAGGTCTTAAGCTCCCCACAGATGGGATGTCCTTCCAGATCCTATAATGGGCATCAGATCCCTCAATAGGTGGGTACCACTTGCTCCCTTGGAGATTGTACTTACCACAAACTATTTTCTTCCACAACACCTTATCTTCATTGCCAAATCTCCACAAATTAAGAGTTGATCTCATCACAAGTAACCATACAAAGATCCCAAAGGAAAACCAAAAAGAATTCTATTATGAAAAAAAAAAAAAAATTTCAAAAAGAATTTAGATTTTAAATAGTCGAAGTTTAAAGTAGAGAAATAAATAGAAATGTTGGATTCCAATATTTGGTTTAACTATTGCCTACAAAGCCCCAAGTAAATCTTAAGATTTGTTTGGAGTTTAAGTCAGCACATAGAGCACATGCACCTAGTACATAGTGAAGCCTTTTGTAACCATTTCCTATGATTTCAGAATAGTAACTAAATTTTGAAAAAATCATATTACTAACCCAACAACCAAAAAAAAAATAAAATAAAAATGATCTTTAATTTAACTTATTGAACCTTTACAAGAGGATGTCAGAAACAATTTCATCATGGTAAACACTACTTTAATACTATATAATAAGTTATACACTTGTACGCATTTATGTAAAGAGATGTGTAGACTTCAATTTTTTTTTTTATAAACATATATAGGCTTTAGTATTGTCATATCAAACAATTCTGGACATTTTCAAAAAAAAATTATCGTCTCCCTAACGTTTCCAAGTGACCTAAAACAAAACACCGAAACTAAATTTTGATTTGTATGAAGGCATGATTAGCATGATATTGCGGATTCACTAAAGGATGAATGGATGATTCACTTGTATATTTAGGCAGAGGCATCATAAGTAGTCATAAACTGTTGTTGTTGGACTGGTAAACTGTTTACTACCCTCGATGAACTACTGACCCATATGTATAAGTTCTTGTGTTATAAAATCACCTTGATATTTTCTTCAATCATGTAGGGACACATTCCCATAGCAGGTAAACCTTGAAAGTACCAATCTTTTGGTTTATTCATGGTGATCCACTGTTAGTCGACAAGCACTGTTAATTTAACAACACATCAAATTGAACATGAATTCTGAAAAAACAATGAAGGAACAAATTGCATCAATCGATAAAAACTGATATAGAGAAAATTCAAAAAAATAAAAAAATAAAGCCATAAATTGATTAGAGAACATGGGCAAAATTTCGAAAGAAGAAATAGAAGATAGTACCTTCAAGATTCATACTAGTCGTATTACTGTGAGCGAGAGAAAGAGAGAGCAAAGAGACCAATCAGTGTTTGTGAAGGGGCCAGGGCAAATATAATGAGGAGGGGAGGGGGGGAATATAAGGCCTCGTTTGGCATGTCTTAAAAAAAGATAAAAAGTCAAAAAGTCACTTAAAAAATTAAAAAGTTATCACTATTCACTAAAAAAAATATTAAAAAATTAATTTAACACATAATTACATTTCAGACAACTCTGCCGTCCCACAGGTGGAGCTGCCTTTTTGGAAAAATTACACTTATTTAGGTGCACAAATAACACAATGTTGTTTGGCCTGTAGGGATCCATCACGGGTCCCTTTTTAATAATCTAAACCGTTCAATGTGTAGAACTCGTCGAGTACTATACACCTGTAAAAAATCACGTTGATCAGATATCAGTAACTATATGATCAAATCAGTTAAAATTTATAAAATGGATGGTGTTATAGTTAACGGTTGAAAAAAAACTAATTGGATCAGATAGCTATCGATATCCGATCAACGTGATTTTTTACAAGCATATAGTACTTGACCAGTTCTACACATTGAACGATTTTGATTAGCAGAACGGGACCTGTGGTGGGCCCCCATGGGCCGAACAGCACCTCTAATTCAATGCCCGAAAAGCAGGGAATCACATCCCAGGCTACACTCTGCATACACTGTCCTCAATTATCCCACCATACCGCCTATTCCAATCCAATCTTCTCCTATACACTAATTTATACAATTTTTTCATAAAAAGTCAAAAAGTTATCCCAAACAACCATATTTTTTTCCTCAACTTTTTAGTCCAAAAAGTCAAAAAATGCACTTATTTAGGACACCCCAAACAATCCCTTAGGGTTTACTAAGAGAAAGAAACAGGAGGATATACATACCAATTATTATTGAGAAGCCATGCTCACGGCGGTGGTGACGAAAGGAGAGAGGAGATGAGTTGCGCGAAGGTGGGAAGAACTAACGTTATGTTTGGATTGAGTGATTTGGAAAGAAAAGGAAAGAAATGGAGAGATATATATTTCTCTTACTTATTTGGATAACTTAAGTAGAGAGAAATGGGAAGAAATAAAGAGAAATGAAGAGACACTCATTTCTTTTATAATCCTCACTTTCAATCTTCCCAAAAGTGGAGAGATTGAGAAAGAAAAGAAACCAATATTTTCATAATACAATTTTGTCCATGTAAAAATAAAAGAAATAAAATGATTGAAAATATAAAAAGGTTGTTTTGGTAATATAACATAAAATAATTTCTTTTCTTTTCTTTTCTTTTCTCATATGAAATCTAACCAAACAAGAATGAGAGAAATCGTAATCATTTCTTTTCTTTTATTTCTTACTTATCCAGATAAGAATGAGAGAAATCACAATCACTTCTTTTCTTTTCTCTCCTAGGTTCCCAAACATAGTGTAAGGAAAGTGATGAATCGCATGCAGTAAGTAGAGTTGAGCGTGAAAAAGAGAGAGAAAACTGAATCAGAAGCACCAAAGAGATAGGGTTTTGAGGGAAATTTGAACATTGGAGAATTTGGGAGGGTGGTAAAAAATTGAGGTCCTGTTTGGTTGATTTTTTTTTTAAATGTATTTTTGGATTTTTAAAAATTGTTTGGCTTCAATTTTTTGCATTCAATTTTTTAAAAATTGAGTTTTTTATTTTTCATATATATTTTTTTATTTTTAGTAAATATTTTTAAAATTTTAAGTAATTTTTTTTATTTTTTTAAATACACCTTACTTAGACGTATTTAAAAAGTAAAATATTTGTCAAAAAATATTTTTAAAAAATAATAAATACATAAGAATATGAAAAATGTACTAAATTCACATATTTTTTTAAATATATTTTTAGTATTTAGTAAATTTTTTGAATATTTGTTTCACAAATATTATACTTTTAAAATTTATTTATGTTTGGTGTATCTAAAAATAAAAAAAAAAATGCTTAGAATATTAAAAAAATTCAATGAAAAAATTTTTTTTTTTTTGAAAAGTGAATACTGAAAATCCAAACCAAACAAGCTGATCAAATTATATAAAATTGACACGTATGGTAATTTTGATTTTTTTAAATTTTTCACGAAACTAATTTTTAGTCTTTAAAAAATAAATTTGAATCAAGTTTTAGAAAATGAAATCAAACATGGCCACCACCTCAACTTTGGAAAGAATTTCGATTATCTTAATTTGGTTACGTCAACTTTGGGTTTTGTGGGCTCATTTTGAGATCGATTTTGGGAATCTGAACCATTCACTTTTCACAAATTATTGACTAGAATATTCAGAAATTTTTTTTCAAGAAAATCAGATATTGGTAACTCTATGTTTAAAACATATTTAGATGGACAATTTGAGATAATCCAAACACCTTTAGAAAGTTTTAATAAAAACGCAAGTCACGAAACCATCTTGTTTCACTAACAAAACTTTTGGTGATTGGCGCCCCGAATTTCATTTTGGCCTTTTTTTTTTTTTTTTAATCATACAATTCACGACATGCATTGTGCGTCATAAAAACGCAATACTTTTAACGACAGACGAAGTGTGCGTCATAAAAAGTGTAATACTTTTAATGGCGGGCGTTGTGTGCACCGTGAAAAGTATTCATGTTAGAAATTGGACACCCATGGGCATGACTCTTTGAACGTGAACCTTTTGAACCTTATCCATATAAGTTTAAATTTGAATTCAAAACTTATTTGGATAACCATTCAGGATATCTATATCTATCATATCAATAGATATGGATAGATGGATAGATAAATATTGGTTATATATCTGATTATATATTTTAGATAATATATTGATATATCAGATATGTATATTAGATACATTATGAGGTTTTTACTCATAACCTTTTTTCCCAGACTCTCTCTCTGACTTTCTCCCACAAAACAACGATCAAGCCATTTTGCACTGTGACTTGTGGGTGATACTCATTTTGTAGTATCACTCCACTGCTAGGTTCATTGTTCAGATTCTGCAAGCACGTGATTTACCCACGAGGTTCTTTGCTAAAAGGTAAGATTCTGATATTTTATCCGCTGCATCATAATACTTTATGATTTACATTGGTATCAGAGCCAATATGGGTATTTTCGTGCTTATTTTTATGCATTAAAATATGTGTATATTTTGATATAAATATATATACATGATATATGCATGAATATTAATAAAGGAGGAAGATGTCCACTCCCATTAGATTAAGAGCATAAAATACTTCATTTTTCTGTTCATTAAATGTCATTTTTAATGCCATAAATGTATTTATTTTGGAAAATGGAGTTTGGGAGTATCGAAATTGGACCAAAAGACACCCCGGAAGGCGGCGCGTGTGCCTCACGCGCCAAATGACACCGTCAGTGGCTGGCACGCGCTACCACGCCCTGTCACGCGCCTCTACGCGCTGCCACGCACTTCCATGCGCCAAGTGCACAATACACGCGCCTACATGCGCCATTACGCACGTCAGTCGCGCCGTCCGCGCTGCGCACGCCCGCATCGCGCGCTAAGTCGCTTGATGAGCCGCGCCCTGAGCTGTGCCGTTTTTCCTTCGCGGCTTGGTTGGCTTGGCTGCTGGTACTAAGGTGCTGTTTGTTTTGTTTTAAATTCTGAATCGCGTTAAATGGTCATAATTAATTCGTTATAGCTTTGTTTTAAGCGTGGTTAGGACCATTAGACTTAAAATTAATTTTTCTATCTTTTGTAAAATTTTCAAAATTTTATGAATATAAAAAATATTTTTCCTGAAATAATAATTCATTATTTCTACTTTAAAATGCATCTGGTGTTGCATGATTAAGTTTCTGGGGCTGAATTTTTTATTGTAGACCACTGTAATGGTTTAATATTTACTGGTGTGATTGTTGCTTTTTATCAGATTCTGGAATATTTATTTCTAATTTTATGTGTGTTTATTAGTTATTTAAAATTCTAGAAAATTTCAAAAAAATTCAAGAAAATTTCAGAATGATGTACATTCTGTTATGGCATAATTTGAATATTAAATACAGCATATTATTTTTTTTGGGTTTGTAATATGTTGTGATTAGAGAAGCATGCCAATAGATATGGATAGATGGATAGATAGATATTGGTTATATATCTGATTATATATTTTAGATAATATATTGATATATCAGATACGTATATTAGATACGTTATGAGGTTTTTACTCATAACCTTTTTTTCCAGACTCTCTCTCTGACTTTCTCCCACAAAACAATGATCAAGCCATTTTGCACTGTGTCTTGTGTCGGTGATACTCATTTTGTAGTATCACTCCACTGCTAGGTTCGTTGTTCAGATTCTGCAAGCACGTGATTTACCCACGAGGTTCTTCGCTAAAAGGTAAGATTCTGATATTTTATCCGCTGTATCATAATACTTTATGATTTACATTGGTATCAGAGCCAATATGGGTATTTTCGTGCTTATTTTTATGCATTAAAATATGTGTATATTTTGATATAAATATATATACATGATATATGCATGAATATTAATAAAGGAGGAAGATGTCCACTCCCATTAGATTAAGAGCATAAAATACTTCATTTTTCTGTTCATTAAAGGTCATTTTTAATGCCATAAATGTATTTATTTTGGAAAATGGAGTTTGGGAGTATCGAAATTGGACCAAAAGACACCCCGGAAGGCGGCACGTGTGCCTCACGCGCCAGATGACGCCGTCAGTGGCTGGCACGCGCTACCACGCCCTGTCACGCGCCTCTATGCGCTGCCACGCACTTTCATGCGCCAAGTGCACAGGACACGCGCCTACATGCACCATCACGCGCGTCAGTCGCGCCGTCCGCGCTGCGCACGCCCGCATCGCGCGCTAAGTCGCGCGCTAAGCCGCTCGATGAACCGCGCCTTGAGCCGTGCCGTTTTTCCTTCGTGGCTTGGCTGGCTTGGCTGCTGGTACTAAGGTGCTGTTTGTTTTGTTTTAAATTCTGAATCGCGTTAAATGGTCATAATTAATTCGTTATAGCTTTGTTTTAAGCGTGGTTAGGACCGTTAGACTTAAAATTAATTTTTCTATCTTTTGTA